TGAGGTTACAAAAAAATATATTGATTCAAACCTGTTCCTGAAAAAAATCCCCATCGAATCCCCAAGGCAATTTCTCTGTGATTTTTGCGACCTTCATGAACATTTTAGTACTTTTAGGAAGATCAAACCTTCCTCTACACGAATACGCTTTCCTCTTCCCCATAGGTCCGCTTTTGAGGAAGTTATGGTCCTTCAAAGACACCCTACTTGCTGAAAATTTGTTTCCCACGGCTGGTCCTGCCCAGAATTCCCTTCCCCCGGTCCTTTAATCGATAGTCGATTGAGCTATGCAAACGGGACAACTTTGAGAACGGCTGGCCGCAATTGCACCACTGACGCCTTCTGAGTCGGATTCAGCAATCGTCCGCGTTAAAAAGCTTTTTTTGTTTTTAGCTTTTCCTTTTTTGTTGTTCTCGCGGTTCCTAGCTTGGTTGGTTATATTGCACCTCCAGTGAAGTGAATACACTGTGAATACACAAAAAGCCTGTTTTTCACGAGTGGTGCCCACCTGCGATAAACTCGTGATTCCTTGCCTTTTTTCTGCTCTCGCACTCCAGCGAAAAGAGCAACTATGCGACTGCGAACACTGCTCTGTATAATTTTTATGCGTTGTTATGTAGGCAATATAAAGACCAGAAAGCGTTAAAGTGAAGTGTAGCATAAATGCATGAATTTAAATACTAATTCTTATTGACTTCTACTGCATAAATTTCTTAGTGCAAAATGTGGGAAGCAGAGCTTAGCTAAAAAAACCGAACGGCAAAAAAGGGGGGGGGTCGTACCGAACCCCCAAAAAAGGGGGGGTCGTACAGGCTCGACCAAAATCCCCATCGAATGCTGTGCCCTGCCTCCAGTAAACCACGGTCCATTCTTCTTCACTATTTGCTGATGTTATATGAAGTTTTTAGCGCACTGTTCTCAGTTGTTTTTTTACTTGTGACTGTGTCCGAGTGAAGCCTGTATTACCACAAGGTTGTCTATCACCGTTTGAGTGCATTAATCAATTGTTACATGATGTTTTTGTGTAATATTATTTTATTTTGTCATGTTATCATGTTATTTTGTTATACTATTATGTTGTGTTAGTGTCACTTTGTGATTAGTTTGTTATGATATTGTGAAAGGCGCACAACTTAGGCTGCAGTAGGAGAGGAAGCTTTATCCTCGGATGATCTTTTATACCTCGAATTCCTGGTTAAATTCAAAACTTTATGGTTCAAGGTTGGTTTGGTTTGGTTCCTTACTTTCAGCATTACTAACCAATGTATATTTAACCAAAAAAACAATAACAAGAACCATACTTGGGTCACTTGATATCGGCAACTTCATCAAATCTTAAGCCGGGGAGGTGTTGGGACGAACATCACAGGTTTAAACAAGTAGGAGCAAATTAGACGTTCTAGATGATTCTTGGAGCTACAATGAAAGCACGCAAACACCCACCGTGGCACACTGCTCGGATTCTTAAAGTTGAACGACCAGATCTAGCTGGAAAAACGGGAAAATTAACTTAGTGCCTGTTTTTCCTCGCTATTTCTGGTGATCTCTGGGAAGCGCGCCTATGAAAATGGGAGTCGAACTTGCGAATGTTCAATGCCGCTTCTACCTCTTACGGGTTTGTAGATGCAGTTCAAGGCATTTCAAGGAACTTTCAACCCGGAAGCCTGTGAGCAGAGTGTATGAATGTCATTTTGTTTCGATTAGCAGATCGTCGGTCGAATTAATTGATCTTCTTTAGATTGCGCGGGAACACGCGGCAGGCAGCCTATTTAGCCGTCATAGCGAGTCACTCAAGGAGTTCTTTTCTGTTTTTTTGTTCTTCGTTCCGGTCGTGTCTGGAGGGTCACCTCCCAGGATCTCGTCGTGTTCTTTCTCTTTTTTTTAGGATACTGCCTCTCTCTGAGAAACTGAGAAGCCTTTTTTGTGTTGTTTATCCGTAATAAATTGTTGCTACTATAACCTGTCCGAGCACTAGTGGGAATAAGTAGCGGGTAAGCACCGCCAGAGTACTTGACTTGGATTTTCTTGTATGCGAAATCCTTACTAGCCTTTGACTGAGAAGCACCTGGAATTAGTTTCTCTTTATCACTTATATTCGTACCGTGCGCTTCTTTTTGCTGTCTATGATTGTATCTGTATTAAGCTTGACAACGTTTGTTTGGCACATTGTTATCTTGATGTACTTCTGTTTATGTGTGTTTATAGAGAGATCCATTGCATGTACATAACTGCAAAAAGAAACGATGGAAAAGAAAGAAAATCAAAAAGGACTAAAGAAAAGAATCGTGAGTTGTTTAATGATATTGATCGTACGACGGAGCTGTCAAGGAATCGCGAAAAATCAACAGCCAACAAAACACAGAGACAAGAAAAAAATTTCAAATATTGAACTGATCACCGCGGCAGCGAAAAACCTAACTGAGTTATTGCGGTGAAACTGTGTCAGGACCATCGACAGCGTGCGAGTCTAGAGATTCAAGATTCGGGTTTTTTATCCAACGCCACCACCCGTAACAGGCTATCTTCTGTTAGGCAAGAGCGAGTAAACATCCGCCGCTCCCGCAGCGCCGATCCAAAGCACCGTCGGTGTTTATGGGAAGGAGAATCGCATGTGATTCGTCACACAACAAATAATAATGTTCTGATGGAACACTCAAAGAATTCGAGCCATGCTCCTTCAGGAAGACGCGGATCTTACATAGAGAGGGGCTCGAATCCGCCTCCGCCAGTGGCTCCCCGTAAGCTCACTAAGGCGCAAGAAAGAGACCTAGTCAACAGGTTGTCTGTCCCGGTGCGGACGGAAGTGAAGGAGAATGGTACGGGCATTGTGGATAATCGCTCCCGTAGAAACCCAGTCACACTCAGCGGTGGCGACATCCCTACAACTTCTCGATTTCCCAAGGGCCAGTGAAGTTGGCGAACCAGAAAATGATAAGCGACCCACGTTGTGCTGAAGTAAATATCGGTTCACAATGGCTCGTAGGAGTGACCATCTAGTCTTTCCTAGCAAACTTTTCGATTGCTTCACCATCGCGTTTCGCTTTTGCGCTCATAGTTTCTGCTCGGCACTAATTTTTTCTGAGGTGGGTTCCATTTTCTAACACTGCTTGCAGTTTTTGAGAACACGAACTTTTTCATTTGTTTATGCTCATTAATTTGTTTCAGTAGTTTCGTCATCAAACTTTTCGATTGTTCACCATCGCGTTTCGCTTTTGCGCTCATAGTTTCTGCTCGGCACTAATTTTTTCTGAGGTGGGTTCCATTTTCTAACACTGCTTGCAGTTTTTGAGAACACGAACTTTTTCATTTGTTTATGCTCATTAATTTGTTTCAGGTTTCGTCATCAAACTTTTCGATTGTTCACCATCGCGTTTCGCTTTTGCGCTCATAGTTTCTGCTCGGCACTAATTTTTTCTGAGGTGGGTTCCATTTTCTAACACTGCTTGCAGTTTTTGAGAACACGAACTTTTTCATTTGTTTATGCTCATTAATTTGTTTCAGTAGTTTCGTCATCAAACTTTTCGATTGTTCACCATCGCGTGTCGCTTTTGCGCTCGTACCGCCGTCGCACCAAAACGACGGCGCTCGCGCACAATCTAGAGCATAAAGAGTACATTCGTTGCATGGGTGGTCCACCTGTATGTGTTAACACTTGGTCTTTCCCCGTCTATAGCACTCTCCTCACTCACTTGAGGTTCCGAAAAGGGGTAGTCTCTTAGGTTGGATTTGGAAAACTGCACAAGAAAGGGCGACTAGGAACTACTCGAGCGCTGGACTGTCTTTAAGCTGTGAATCTTGCGCGAACTCACTCACCTGCTCGCTGAAGCTTCAAGAACAGTGCACTAACAGAGGCCAGAACGATCACACTGTTGTAGGGTTCCGTAACGTAGGATTTGAATGCACTGATATGTGTAGAGATTAGAGATTATCCCATGCAATATCCCGCGCAATGTACGGAGCATTGTAATATGACTATCCTTGTGTTTTTATGTTGTCCTCCGGAGCTTAGCTCCGGCTAGTTCTAAATAAATCTTCTCCTCCACTGGTGTTTTCGGCTACAACAACATCTAGAGCATCTGGCGATCAGCGGACTACGACGAGGACCAAGAAGATCGTCTACTGCAGCTCCTCCAAGAAGAAGGACTCCAGCCCCGGCTTCACGCCTGGTCGAACTGCTGGTCGAGTCCTGAAAACAGCGCCCGCTTTCTGCCCGGTCGAGCTGCTGAGTCGAAGCACTTCAGCCCCGGCAGTGAGCCCTCAGTCGCTGTGCGCGTGATTGACATATCGATCAGTTTTGACCTACTGATCGAATCACGCTCGATAATCGCGTAAGGCGGTTATTGCAAAGTGTCAGGTTCTCTGTTGACGAACGCGACGTCTAGTGAACTACGACACTGAGAATGGATGCAGAAACGTTACGCACCATTCTCGAGGCACAAACAAGGATGCAGCAGCAGATGTTCAGCGAACTGATCAATCGCATGGAAGCAATGGTCACTGCTTCGCAACCCGCAGTTTCGACAGCTCCCGTCTCAACAGCCGAGTTCGTCACGAACTCGCTCTCATCGCGTCTCCCCGAATTCGTCTACGATCCTGACAATGGCTGCACATTTGAAGTCTGGTTCAATCGATACGAAGACGTCATTGCGAAGGACGGAGCCACGCTAAACGACGCAGCGAAGGCTCGGTTAATCGTCTCTAAACTCGACGCCGTCACATTACGCACGGTTCACGAACCACATCCTCCCGAAAAGGGCATGCGACGTTGCCCTGGAAGACACTGTGGCAATCCTGAAGGAACTGTTTGGCCACAATACGTCAGTTTTCGCGAGACGCTACGTATACCTGAAGACTCAGCGAAATGGAGAGAACCTTCGAGACTATACCGGACTTGTCAATCAACGACATACGATGGCCGAATTCAACGAACCGGAATCGTCAATCAACGACATACGATGGCCGAATTCAACGACGTCACTCCAGAGCAGATGAAATGCTTGGTATGGATCAGCGGATTGGTCGCCCCTGAAGATACCGACATACGAGCACGTGCTCTCCGCAAGATGGAAGACAATCCAAGAACAACGCTAAAGGAGCTCGCCGCTGAAATCCAGCAATTCCTCGACATTCGCCAAGATGCCGCACTACTCGAACGAGCCGCTCCACCGCACGTCAACGCCGTCGACTCTCACAACCAGAAAGGACAAGGATCGCGAGCCGCCTTCACCCTGTTTTCGATGTGGAGCAAATCACTGGTCGAGGGAATGTCCTTTCCTGAAGAAGACGTGCTACGACTGCAAAGCGACGGCCACAAACGAGGATTCTGCAAGAACTTCAAGAGGAAGAGGAAGCAGAAACCGCAACGGAAGCGAAGATCTGCCAACAACGTCGTCATCACCTCAGCTCATGCTGATGTCGCCTCCGTATCACGCATCTATCGCCCAGTGGAAATAAATGGAAAGACGATACGCATGCGTTTGGACACTGGAGCAGACGTGACTCTACTAAGCGAAGCAGATTGGATTGCTCTTGGTCGTCCGAAACTACAGTCTTCCTCGACTGACACAGAAGTCTGCCAAGCCGACCAAAGTTTGAGGACGCTACCACTGCATCTTCGTCATTGGTGGTCAACGAGGACGAGGTACCTGCTATGTAGCCGACACGCCATCGTTATTGGGCCTAGAGTGGATTGCCCAACACGAGCAACTGTTCTCGTCATCTAACGGAAGGATCGATCTACAACGTATCGTCGAAAGATGCTCAGCACACTGAACACTTCTCTCACTACGCGCCTGACGGAGAAGTTCCCAGCTGTCTTCACACCTGGCCTGGGAAGATGCACCAAATCGACTGCTAAACTTGTGCTGAAGCCCAATGCGAAGCCTGTGTTCCTGAAGGCTCGCCCTGTTCCATACGCTGCTATGCCGAAGATTTCGAACGAAATCGATCGCCTGGTGTCTACACACGTCCTGACGCCCATCGACCACTCAGAATGGGCAGCACCAATTGTCGCCGTTCAGAAGAAAAATGGATCGATCCGACTATGCGCAGACTACTCAACTGGACTGAACGACGCACTGGAACAGCACCAGCACCCACTTCCAACCCCAGACGACATCTTCACGAAACTCAACGGAGGACGTTACTTTTCTCAACTCGACCTTGCCGAAGCATACCTCCAGTTGGAAGTGGACGACGACTCTAAGAAGCTGCTGACAATCAATACGCACCGTGGACTCTACCGTTTCAATCGACTACCGTTTGGAGTGAAGCCCGCACCTGGCATCTTCCAACAGTGCATGGACGCACTCATTGCTGGAATAGATGGAACTGCCGCCTATCTCGACGACATACTGGTCACTGGCAGAACCATCGACGAACACAACACTCGACTGGAAGCAGTGTTCAAGCGAATCCAGGACTACGGATTCCGTGTTCGACTCGACAAATGCACATTTCTGCAGGACAGAAATCACCTACCTCGGGTTCGTCATCAACGCGCAAGGACGACGCCCTGATCCGGACAAGATCAAAGCCATACAGAAGATGCCCGCTCCAACAGACGTCAGCCAGCTTCGCGCTTTTCTCGGACTCATCAACTTCTACGGCAATTTCGTCAAGGATCTGCACGATCTTCGCGCTCCGCTAGACGCCCTTACGAAGAAGGATGCTGTCTACAAGTGGTCACCGGAGTGCAAAACTTCCTTCAACAAAGTCAAGGCAACACTCCTGCTGATTCATTATGACCCGGCTCTACCAGTCATCGTAGCTGCCGATGCTTCCAACTACGGAATAGGAGCGACTCTCTCACCGCTTCCCAAATGGATCCGAGAAGGTCGTCTACCACGCAAGCCGTTGCCTGACACCAGCACAGAAGAACTACAGCCAGATTGAGAAGGAAGCACTCGCTCTCATCTTCGCCGTGCAGAAGTTTCATCGCTTTGTCCACGGACGACACTTCACGCTGAAGACCGACCACAAGCCACTCGTCGCAATCTTTGGAAGCAAGAAAGGGATACCAGTCTACAGTGCCAACCGTCTTCAGCGATGGGCCACGATGTTACTCAACTACAGCTTTACGATGAGTACGTCAACACGAAGGGCTTCGGGCAGGTGGACGCTCTCTCGTCTTATAGCGTCGCACTCGTCAATACCGGAAGATTACGTCATCGCCTCCGTCGACGCCGATGTCACCGCCGAGTTCACAGAAAACTGTCGACATCTTCCAGTATCTGCCGAATCCATCCGGACCGCTACGAAAGCCGATCGACTGAGCCAAGAAGTGATCGACTACACGAAATCCGGAAAATGGCCCAAAGTCAACCGCGACTCTCCTTTATGGCACTACTACAATCGCAGAGACACTCTTACGACAGTGAACGGATGTCTGCTCACCGCATCCCGCATAGTGATTCCAAGATCACTACAACATCGCGTTCTTACAGCACTCCACAAGGCTCATCCAGGACAAACGAGGATGAAAATGCTCGCAAGAAGCTACGTCTACTGGCCGACACTGGATGCCGACATCGAACACATGGTCAGGACCTGCTCCAAATGTGCTTCAGTTGCCAAGGATCCCGTCAAAGCTGAACTACATTCCTGGCCGAAACCGACTTCTCCATGGATGCGAGTGCATGCTGACTTCGCCGGACCGATGGAAGGACGATATTACCTGATACTCGTGGATGCCTACTCCAAATGGCCTGAAATAGTCCAGATGTCAACAATTTCTTCATCAGCCACGATTCAGTCAATGATGCACATCTTCGCCCGCTTCGGAAATCCGGCCACACTCGTCACAGACAATGGAACGCAGTTCACATCTTCACAGTTCACTTCGTTCTGCCGTTCGCGAGGAATCACACACATTCGCACGCCGCCGTTCCATCCGCAGAGCAACGGACAAGCAGAACGCTTTGTGGATACCTTCAAGCGAGGACTCGCCAAGTTGAAGGGGGAGGAACCTACACAGGACGCTCTGCAGACTGGCTTACCGCTCTACGCCATGCCCTTCTACACCAGATCAACTATTCCTGCGGAAGCCTTCCTTGGACGCCGACTTCAAACCGAACTTGACTTGATGTTGCCACCAGAGACATCACTATGGGAGCACGAGATGTCAAGATGGAAACTCAGTTCAATCGTCGAAATGGAGCACGACGCCGCAGCTTCAAGGTCAACGACGCCGTTCATGTCAAGGATTATCGAGGACCAAAGCCTTCATGGATACCTGGAACCATCGTTCGTCGCGTTGGAAGCACCACCTACGTCGTACGCTGTGGAAGCAACTTATGGCATCGACATGCGAATCAGCTGCGACCAAGGATCAACACAACAACGACAAACGCCTTCATGGAAGTTTTCGATCTACCGCTGTTCGACTCCGCGAGCAGAGACAATGTGGCACCACCGACGACGATCGAGCTGCCTCGACGATCACGACGTGTCCGACGACCTCAACGCCGACTCCAGCTGGACCCTCAAAGGTCCCGATACGTGTTAACTTAAAGGGGAGGTGTTGTAGGGTTTCGTAACGTAGGATTTGAATGCATTGATATGTATAGAGATTAGAGATTATCCCATGCAATATCCCGCGCAATGTACGGAGCATTGTAATATGACTATTCTTGTGTTTTTATGTTGTCAGTTCTCTCCGGTTCAGTTCTACAATAAATCTTCTCCTCCACTGGTGTTTTCGGCTACAACAACAACATGAACCTTCTTTTTTTCTAGAATAATTTGTTCTGAGTGATGCATGACATGCCTACCGGTGCAATACTTTCGACGTTTACCTACCTTGCAAAGACAAAGTGACCGGTTTCTTGAAAGAAAAAAGGGGATGTCGGGTTTTGTAACTTGACACCGAGAAACTCTTTTTTTTCCAGATGACTGTGGTCTGGGACAGATTCAGTCTTGCAATGAGTATAGAGTGAGCCTTTCGAAGCACTCCTTACAGAAATATATACTGTAACTTCCAAAGCCCGTATTACGACGTGCCCGAACATCTCCAAGACGCTTGGAAGAATGTGAAGTAGGCGCTGAACAACAGAGTGAGGCGCACTAAGACGAAATTAAGAGACGAAAGAGCAGTTGGCAGCTCAAGGGGGTCTCATGGCACTGAGATCTTAAGTGAATTACTAGACTACTACTTGTATTAGATTTCGGATTAGATTTCAAGCTCTGAGCTGTATTTAATTAATTTGTTTTTTTCCTTCTGGAATGAAATAGAGCCCTCCTTTTCTGATAAATCGTTTTTTGCGATTTCAGCGTGCGATACAAGTGCCTTTACTGGACACAGAAGTTGACGGGATAACGTTGCAGTGTGCCATTTGCCAAGGAGCGACTGGTCACGGCCAGGATCGCTCAGAAAGAGGTAAGGGTAAAAAAAAAGAGGTAAGGGTAAAATGAACAGAAATGTTGAAGTCGTCATGGAATAACATGTATAACGTGTGCAGTCGCAAAAAAAATCTTGGAACGAGCCCAAGTCGCGGGTTTTTTGATAGTTTTACATACAATTTTATTTTGCACATGAAATAGTTCACTCAAATCGAGTACGCCTTAAACTATTCTGAAAAATGATGTTGGTTGAATACATTCGTGCAGAATTTTAAAGATGATTGCGATGGGACATGCCGCCTCCACTCTGATATTACACCGGTTTTCAAAGTTTCTAATGCTTTGCAACTGTCGGAAGAAGGTCACTCTTGTCTGATACTCGCGACTTTCCTCCATTTTTTTGTAAAACTCTCGAGAAATCTATGTTGCTCTCAAAGCTTTAAAAACTTTGAAACCACTCCAATACCAGAGTGGCAGCGGCATTCGCATTGCAATAATCTTCAATTTTGTATATTCATATTCAGGTTGTCTTTCCACCGCATTCTGAGTCGGCCTTTTGGACGTTTACCAGTGAAGACGACCTTATCAACGGACTTCGATACTGCATCAGGAGGTCCCCGTTGAACACGGCCATGCTAGCGAGGCAGAGCTGCAGGGGAATTGCAATCGGCTGGACCTTCATCCTGGCTCGGACTGTTCCTTTGCGGATTCGGTCGAGTCGCGCGTGTCCCAGACTCCATCGTAATTTGCATCTCCATGGACACCGTAGCCGTGCTCCCTCGGCCGTCATGTGTTTGGTCTCCCGCTCCATTAGATGGCGACTGGTCTTCGACTGAAGTGTAGATCTGCTGACTTCATAACCCCTCGTGTCATAAGAGTGAAAAAAGAAAATGTCTCGCAAAACTTCCGAGCAGATAACTATAGATTCTCTTCTGTTGGTTTCTTTGTTCTCAAGTTTTATACCAAAAAGCTCCACTTCAATTCTAGCCGTGTTTGTCTCAAGTGAATTGCTAGAAGTGAGCATTTGCATATAAAAAGCAGTTCTATATGGGGAACTTGGCAGCGTAGACCACTCATCAACCAGACCCGTTGCCACAAAAGTGCATTTGTTTTCACTTTTCTTTTCTTTCCCCAACCGCAGCCAACATTTTCCGCTCAGTTTTCCAGCAATAACTCAAGAGACTGGTTCTTCTCCGTGACGCGTCTTTGAAAATGTTTCGACGTCATCACCAACTCATGAAAAACGCAGTCGCAAAAATAGAAAGACTGCAGAATAGTGGTGAGATCTTTGACTTCCAGTTTCCTACTAGCATTGGATAGATTCGTTCCCCCTCTCACACCGAATTTCTCAAAGGGGTCAGCCGAAATTGGGAATAGAAGTATCCCGTGCTTTTCGTTGTCTAACCCACAATCGGAAATATATTTTTCTAACAACACTGGAGGAAAAATGGTAGTGAGCCATCTTTTTCCCATCTTCCATCCCTTGGACAGATTGAATGGACTAAATGTGCGAAGAACAATACAAAAGATATGTATCCGTTTAATCTACAGCGCGACTTCTGTCGACTTTTTTCCGACGGCAACCCCTTTCGTACTTCCAGAACCTGCTCGTAGCGCTGTGTCCTGTAGAATCTTCAAATTCGCAAATGCATAAATACAGCGGTGAATAGTTTTCTTTCGTGTTATTTGGCGAATGTTTCATCAGGACTAAAGCACCCTCGTGGAATCGGGAAACCTTTTGAGAGATTAGTTGGTAATTGCACCTTTTACGAGATTATTCGGTATTTACAAAAGCACCTTTTGTTACCATAGTAATTACTGAAGCTTACTCAATTTCAAAATATTTCTCCGAATAGTTTAAGTCGTACCTTCATGGACAGGATTTGGAAGTGATGCGGTGAACAATAATTACAACATCCTATTCCACTTCTCTTGACAAACCTTACACAACCCCTGAAATTGGCGAACAATCCGGTTCACAGCGTCTATTTGTCAGTTTGCCTCCTTGAGAGAGAAGCTTTACAAGGTCTTAGCGTTTCTTCTTTGTTCCTTCTCTTGAAGTTTTTTCATCAAGAGTTGTTTTGCAATAAAGGCAGGTCATAACAGGTCAGCCTGGCCATTTCCAATGAGCTGCACACCGTTGTACGCGTCTTGGGACAGTGAACTCAAATCTACCTTCAGAATTTGCGGAACGATTCTCTGAACGGAGTTATGGAGGGTCTTATCCCCGCGTGGTCGTTTCACATGCTATCGCGAGGAAACGTGGAAGCGTCTTTACATTTATGTATGGAGTCATGCTGAAACGTGGTAGTAGAGCGCAACGGGTAGGGAGCGGGTTTCTTAGGCGAGACGTCGTAGGATCGGTTCCGGGGCAGGTCGCTTTTTTGCATTTGTCCAAGAACATAGCCGACAAAGCTTCTAACATCTCTGCTCGCCTGCACTACCCTATAAGGGAACCTGCGATCAGTTTTTTGAAAGTGTAGACCCATTGTGGCCTGAAAGAGTGCTTCTGCTTGTACCCCTCGTAACACGTGTCACAAGGGTTTGCAAGGTTCTCTATAGGATTTACGACCCTTCATTTTATATTTTTTTGTCATTATCAGTGTTGTATTTGTCTGTATTTGTTGGTAAATGTTGAAGAGCAAACCAATCCAAGTTGAGGAGCAAACCACTTCAAGCAAATGGTGTTCTTTCCACAGGAAATCTTTGCTAAACTAGTGTGTACTAAATTATTCCATGGACCACGCGTTGTACGAGTATACTAAGGATTGAACTGCAGAATGAATATGAGAAACTAAACAAAACACCATGCACTGGTGAAAGACTTGTTGATCGTGATTCGCATGCAATTCACGCGGTCCCACGGGGCCTTCAAACCGTGCATTAAGTGGGTACCACGCGGTCGTCAATGTGTAATACTCATCGGATTCAATCGAAACAAGCACCATTCGAATCAGCACACTTTTGCCAATGTGACACCAGTCGATAAATCCCATCAAAAAAAAACTGGGTGGTCGAGAATCCACGAAATCCACGAAGGCTTTTTTGCCTGGTCCTGATTGATGAAGTATTTTCCAGCAAGGAAGTTCTGAAAATGTTTGAAAAGGTGATAGTCGGTTGGTGAAAGGTCTGGAGAATATGGCGGGTGAGGTAGAACTTCAACCCCCAATTCGTTCAATTTATGGATAGTGATTTGTGAAACGTGTGGGCGGGCGTTGTCATGCAAAGAATCGGACCCTTTCTGTTGACAAGTGCTGGCTGCAGCTGACGCAATTTTTGGTACATTTCGTCGATTTCTTCACAGTAGGACTCTGCTGTGATGCGGCATGCCGTGTTGCCCGCGTGACCGAAAGTTATAATGGACCACACCGAGACCACCAAACCGTGACCAGAATCTTTTTTTGGTTCGGCTTTGAAAATTACCTCGGTGGTTCGTCCAAATCCAACCACTGTCCGGAACGTCTCCTGTTATCATACATGATCCATTTTTCATCACAGC